GAGTGGGTGGACGGTGGGAGGCGGGTGGGTGGCGTTGGGGAGCGTGTTGACAGCGTGGTTAAAGGCTTAGTGTCAGGTTTAGACGTTACTGTGAGTAGTACAGCGGGGCGCAGGGGCGTTTTAGCGGGAAAAGAGTGGCGGTTCCACGCGCATAAAGCACCACACATTCGGCGCTGCATATGGCCATCCGCACCCGCGAGCTCATCATCCCCAACGTATACCTTGTATTAATGTGTTAACATATTCGTACTACACGTACCTGCTTGCCGGGCACGGTATGAAAAGCGCCCGCCCTGAAAAGGGAACCCGCCCTGAAAAGCGCCCGCTTGTGTAGAAACCCCCGCGGCTCTCGAGAGAGAGAGTGCTCACCGGCGCGAAAACGGTGTCCGAGGAATGGTGCGCGAAGAGTGGCGCGCAAAGAATGTAGCGCCGCGCATCCGGTCTCTTCGCCCGCCGCGCGCGCGGCAGCGGGGAGGCGCGGGCGGGGCGCTCGCTCGCGCCCTTGCGCCGCGGCCATAACAGCGCGCGTGTGGAGGGGACGCTGACGTCACCCGGGGGAGAGGCGTGAGATGTCGACAGCAGACGCGCGCGCGGTGAGCAGTTGCCTCTCTCGTCTGTCCAGTCGCGGCCCTTCCGCGCGCTGCAGCGACTCGGCGCGGGGCGTGCGTCGTGATGTCGGACGTGCAGCACCGGCCCGGGGGGACGGGACGTGCGCAAGCATGGAGTCGTTGGAGCGCAACAACAAACTCGCAAGAGATTGGCGCAGGAGATGTGGTGCGAGCGTGTAAGAGTGATGCGGCCCTGTTTACAGCTCTGTCGCGGAAACATTTGGCGCGCTCTGGAGAGCGTGTCGAGGGGGGGGGGGGGTCCGCTGTCGTGTCGGGGGAGGTCCCGGTGTCGAGGGAACCCCCTCGAGGGAACCCCCTCGACACGCCCGTGTGTGTGGTTGACCGGTGCGCTACCCGGAAAGGATGCACATGGCACTCCCGCTCTGTACAAAATGCCTTGCACGGGAGAAGGGGGGGGGCAACCGAGGCGGACGTACGCTAGTGGCTGCGGGACCGTTGTGCTCATATGAGGACAAAGCCAGCAAGCGGGAAAGTGCCTGATGTGTTCTGAGTCCTGAGGATGAAGCAGGACAGCGTCGCGACGTAAGCGTTCCACACTGCAGCGGAGGCACGCTCGGACTGTGCCGCCGCATGATGCCGCTCTGTAGGGAGACGTTTGCCAAAAAAGACAGAGCACTTTCACCTCTCAACACTTCAACTTACGAGCTGACCACAGTTGTCAAGACTGATCATAAGGTGTTTGTCCCCCGCTTCCGCCATCAACGATTCGCTACCCCACTACTTGCCGGGACGAAAACTTTGCAGCACCCACACACACGTCTATTTCAGGGAAACAGAACGGTACCCGCCTCGCCGGGTAAGCATGTTTCTCGCGGAACGACTTGTCGCCTGCTGAACAACTGTGCTACGGTGCTGCGCAAAACGATAACAGCTGTGTGATGCAAGATCGATCACTCTGCTCCCTGATTATAGTCTAAAAGGTGGACTGCCTTTAGGCATCTTTGTTAGGAGTCCTAACTAACTTAGGACTGGCCCTGTCGCTGATCGTGCTGCCATGCGTGTGCTACGTGTGCACGTGTGGCTCGCATGACACGCTACGACGTGTGTACTTGTGCAGGATTACGATTCATCACTCCCCATCATCATACCGTCATCTTGTTTCCGTCTTATGCTTTGTATTCTGCCGGTTTACTCTGTTCTTGACCCATTTCACGTCTTCCTACGACCGCTTCTTCCATTCCGCCGTGCACTATCTCACTGTTACTGAGAATGTTGTGTTTCAAACTCAATTTCATTCACCTTTTTCATCCACAGAACATCACAAAGCAGCTCCATATCTATCTGCTGGGTAACCAAGGTTACAAACAGCTGCAAACAGTTTCCTCAACATTGCATCAAACCTTTCTTAATCACTAGAAATAGATTCGTTGACCACAACACTTTTCTGAGAGCTTTGCAACTTGTATGACAGTTCTAACACAACGATTATCTCAACGATTTGGGCCCTCCCTTTTTTAGATCTTCGTCACTTGGACCTGCGTCATCGATAGATTGCCGTAACTTGTTTCGAGAGAGAGAGAGAGCTCGGTACAAATCCCTTTCGTCGCTGCAATACTATTTTACAAGTACAACCGCATCCAACGCACTTCTTTCAGCCAGAACGCATACTTTTTCTGCATTTGCAAAGCCTAGTTCAAATTATTCGAGTCCGATAGATCGCTTTATACACGATTGACTGAGCATGGAAGGGAACCAGTAAAAACTGCTTCTTACAAGTTTGTCAATCAAACTATCAAATCGATCGCCTCCGCTATCAATCTCTCACTGGCGATTAAATGTGGCGGTACATAGTATGTATGTACTACATACTGTATAGGGGACAGTACCCTTACTGGTACTGTATAGCGGTAGGTATAGGGGACATATAATGGATAAGAGGTACAGTAACCGTTCCCGACCTAATTGCCAAAATGTCCGTTTCCTCAGCACTGAATCGACCTTTTTAATTGAAAAAACTGCTCAACTTGCTCATTCGAAGCCATTCAAAAGCCATCTACCATCTAAACACCGCAACTCGCCTAGTTTAGGCCACCGCTTTTCCAGCTCAACCGTCAGCGGCAAGACACGCTTCCATTCAACAACCTTCAAAAACGCAGTCATTTTACGAGTAGTGCATAATTGCCAATTACTGGTTATCATAACACTACGCGCCGTGGCCCTGCATTCTCAACCAAAGCAGTACATGAGCATGTCTACAGTAAGATATCTCATTGAGGTGCTGCTCCCTTTTCAAATCGGAGACGAGTCCTCAAGCGTCTCTCACCTCTACTCTGTGCTAGACATTCCTCCTGCAAACGCCTGACCGGTGCGAGAGAAGCCAATTGACGACGGTCAGCAGCACTGTCTTGAGAGGAATGGAGCAGAATACATGCCGGAATGTGACAAGTTGGGGGTTCTTGTAGTTGATGGAAAGTCGATGAGTTTAATTGCCCAGGTGCGACGTCGTCACCCCTTTTATACCGAGTAGAAAATGTATGATAAGGTCTGACACGTACTGTCAGACTATGTATGATAAACCGAGTGTCGGAGCTCAAGACTACAAAACCCGAACAATCGGTTACACGGAAGACGTGTTGGAGTTTGGGGATATCAGGTGATTCCATCGTTGCGACGATGGAACCTGTATGGGACGTGTTTTGGCGCCCAAACCACAAGGCATTCGTGTTTGCTTTTCGATATACCTGTACGTGCACTTCGCAAACTAACTTACCGCGAAGGCGTCGGTAGGAGGTACCCTTGGGTACTACACACCGAAATTTTCACGAAAATTTACATTGGCAATTAAGGAGACATTGGTAATTAGGTCGGGAACGTTTACAGTACTAACAAAGTCTAAGCTTGACTGAGTGGACTCACAAGGAGGTAACAGGAATCACCAATCCATCAATGCATCATAGTGATAAGGACAGGCCCTGTGATGTCACGGCGGGTTGGAAACAGTCCACACTGGGAGCTAGGAAAGAAGAAACTCGAGGCGCATCTCGCCTGTGCATTGTTATGGTGTTGTGGTAGACACTCCTGCCACCAGTTCTTTAAAAAAGCGCCGTAGGCTTCCAAGTGAGCACGACGTCGTGAGCTCTGTCAGACCGCACAGGACAGACTGTCCTGAGTGTGTGCATATAAGTAGGCACACAGAGCGACGACGAGTACATAACGGACATCGGTCTCGTGTTCACACATGCTCCTGCACATCCGCTGCGTCCGCTCTCTTGTTCTCGCGTCGCATTTCTTCTTGTCAAGTGTATTGCCACGAATGCAATTTACACTAATGCCTCGGTGTACATGAAGCACGCATACCACATCCCGTCCAATCCCAAGCACAGAGCAGCCTTCTTGCAACTGAGAAAACAACAAACTTTGGAACCCTGAAAGCCATACAGCAGCAATGAAGCATCAACACAGTTAGTGTGTTGCTAGAAGCAGTAGTGCACGTCCCCTGCCTCGTTACGGCCGATCTTCACTACTGGTCGCGCGTGAACGTCTGCCTTGCCGCATACAGCCGGATCACAGCAAACGACCAATCTCTTGCCTTGAAATGCACGCCCATGCAGGAGAAAGGTGCTTCCAAGCAGGCCGACAGAGATATGCAATCTCGTCGAATTATCAGCGGCCACACAGCAAGAGCTTGTAGACTCGCGAGTCGCGGCAGTTGCGGCAGCACGGCATCGTCTAGCGTTTGGCGAAAGTCATAGAGGTTTGTCGCTTTACCTACTCTCTCTCGAGCCGTGCCGCCCACAGAACCGGCCGAAGACGTCGGCGGCGATGGAACTTCCTCTCCCCCCGCACGTCCACCCCCCGCATAAATCCTTCACGGCACTCGTGCCACCGCCGGTGGGTGGGGGGGGGGGAGGGGGGGCGGGGGAAACTGCCTTGACTGTATGTAATCCACGCCGTGGCAAGCGAGTGGGCGGCGAATCCGCAAGCGATGTCGGCACCGTTTCTCCTGCGTCGCCACATTGTGTTATGGCGCCGGAATTTTATTTTTTCTTCTCCGCCCCACCGCCTCCCTCGGGCAATGTCCGGTAACGTCCGGCAACGTCCGGCAACCGTCCTCTAACTTGTATCTACACCGCACGTACACCTTTACTCCCTCATAGAACCGAAGCGTCAGCGCTCTGCAAACCCTGCTGTCGAAACGCAGCGTCTTGAGGTGTGTTACCTTCCTCCAATTCGAGCCAACCATCGACATGGGGCGCTGCCACTTTCCACGACATGGATATTGACGACATGCTCTGCGACCCGGCTTTGCTAATCACGGTACACCCCCCCCCCGCAGACAATCCCTTGCACGGGCACCGCCCTCCGCGGCGGAGCGCGGACGACCCCTCCCCCTTGCACATTAAAACCCGACGCAACCACTACCTCTACTCTGTCCGCACTCACATTGTGCCCCATTTCCTCCTCTGCTACTCAGCACGCATTCACCTTCGACTTGGGCCCACACACACACACACACACACACACAAACACACACCTTGGCTAGCCCGATCGCACACAAAACACAGACACTGCATGTACGCTGGCTTCTCA